CCCCCCCGTCTCCACGATCAATTCAAATGCCGCCTGCTCTCTAATCCTGTACTAATCATCGTACAGTGCAATACCAACCGTTCGCCACCCCATCCATCCGTCTCACCACACCTTGATCACTTGTCCCGCTGGCCCTTGCCCCCTGCGTTACCGGGCACAAACCATTGCCTGGACGTGGCCCGCGCTCCCCTTCCCACCCCCATTCCCCATTCCACACTTTCCGCCCAACGGTTGTCTAATGAAATCCATTTTTGCCGCAATGTACTTGTTGTCCTTTATCACCTCCGCATGCACAACCAGCTCCATGCAACCACAACCCACCACACCGCCATCCGTTTCTCGCTATCATGTGTATGTCGAATCACCTCTTCTTAAGAAGCCCTCCAATATAGAACCAAAACTATTTTCGTGCCCATGGAACACGATTACGTCTTGTCCAAACCGCAACGCTTCAACACCTTTTTTCATATATCCTCATTTCAGCTGTATATATATATACCGTATGACCGTATGAGACGTGCCCCCATCACTCGCTTCATCCATCCGTTGCAAACCGATCCCTTTCATTGCATTGCAAGAGGGAAAAACGTTTTTTACCCCAAACCCGCTTCAAATCAAATCAGTGGCGAAAGGAGCACATTTCCACAAATAATCCGATATACTGTATGCACAGTACAGTAGTACCTTACTTGCACTCAATACCGTCTCTACCACACAGCGTTATCATAACACAAAATCCTCCCAATTTTATTTCTTTGCAACTTTGATGTCCACGCTCTATTTTTCTTTTGTAGGTTTTGTTTTGTTTTCTTCTTTTTCTCACTGAAGAACTGAATAGATAGCACCCCAACCAACATTTCAGTGCCACTGTTAAAATGTACCTTCAAGAAAAACGCTTGCTCTAACCCACCTTTTTCATTTCAACACCTTTATGTGCATCAAACGGTTCGTTTTCAATACAAAAACCGACGAGCAACTGCTTTACTCGTGGTCATGGCCCTCTGCTATCAAAAAACACACGTGAAATCCCCCTTGCCTTGTCTAGAAAAATAAAACATTTTCTCTCCTGACATGACCGCCATCGCTAGGATAGGGCGCTGTAGTAGGCGGAGAATACTCTTTATACTCAAAATCTCGCTAGTTGCAAATAAACCTTTTTGTCATTCGCGACATGTTCCGTAAAAATGTTATTCTCAGAAGAGGCATCCAATTCTTTAAAAAAACTGAAAATAGTGCAATCCAGCGCAGTACGCCACATATTCCATCCACATCTCCCGTTAACAAGTAAACATTTACTTGCCAGTGGTTAATCATTGACCTACTCAACACGAGTCTTCCAGCCTTATGCGCTGGTATTGGACACTCAAAATGATCGGTTGAAGCTCAAAATGGGTCCCAAACCCTATTGGTTCGATTCCTAAAATAAGAGTTCAATAATCAGCTACCAAAAGACGGTGGCGGAGCTATTGTGCTTCCTGCAAGCAATACTGTACGGCAAAGTATTCAGTTTTTACGAAGTGCCTGAATTTCCGCTTTGCCACCGGGATTGATAGAGAGTCAAGTAACCCGGGGGTTGCTCTTCCTGTCGTTTCAAGGGCTTTTCATGTTCATGTGCGCTGTCTAATTCAAGTTCAACTACGCTCGAGGCGGAGCTAATGACCGCCCGGTCTTGGATGGTCAAGGTCACGCAACTCAAGGGGCACGTCGCAAGCCTCCATTGCCGTCATCTGCGGCGTGACATCGAAGACGACCGTGTTCGGGATGAGGCGATGGCGGGCATCCTCGTCTCGCAAAACGACCCCACGGTATAGAACAAGTAGGTGTCCGCGAGCAAGAGTTCGCAAAGTGCCCTCGATGGTGACCCCTCCCGTGTGGATCGCCCCGGGCCGGCACCCTCCACCACGCACCAGCGCCGTGATGGTGTGGTCTTTTGGTGCGGTTAGAGTAGCGAGCCACATCTCCGTGCTCAACATGTTCTTCAATAGATGATAGTATCTCTTATTCGACCTTCCGCTCAGTATCCCTCTTCTCTGCATCCTTCCTGTCCTGACTTAAACCAGATCTCCATTTTCTCAGTAAGGAAGCTCCGGGTTGCCCTGCTGGTTGGGCGAGCAGCTGCTCCCGGCAGCTGAGTAATGAAGAGCCAGGAATGTTCCCTCTCGCGCGCGAGGGTGATGGCTATCGCCCCCGTAGCGCCATAGTGGTGCTCCTAGTTGTGTTGCTTATTTTGAGGTCGAAGTACGTTGTCCGTATCGACGGGATAAAACCAGGACCCAAGTTGGAAACGACTGTTTTCATTTGCGATAGGTATTGCACCCCGCGTCAGGGCGACGTTTGCTTCTTGCGTTTCATCTCAAGGGGTGCATACATCTCAGGTCGGTAGCTCCCATTCGTGGGGCGAGCTAGGAGAGGCCGGCCATCCATCCCAACCTCTTGCCCATCGTACCTGCTTGTGGGGAGTGGATGCTTGCTCGGAATTTGGGACTGCGTGGGGTAGCCTTTGCATGTTAGTAACGGTCGATAAAGGCGTAAGAGAGTCCCTAATCAGGTGCCCAAGTGTCATCCGATGCAGGGTGCCCGTACCAGCGGACCGTGTAATCGATGCAGCTCCGGGTCCACAATTGGGTGACCTTGTCGCCCATCGCATATGCAGCGCGTGGTTCCGCTATCCCTTACGGTGAGTCCGTTGTCGGAAAGCCCTAAATTGTATCGCAGGGACCTTATGAAATATTTGTTACCGGTTAAATGCTGACAAAGTCGGAGACTTCATTTTAGTCTACTGTACCAGTAGTCACGTAGCGGCTCGCTCCCGATACGGGCTTTCTTTTTAGCGGAGGAGTTTGACGGGAGGCCCTCTTCCGCCGTTGCAGAGGTTCGGCGTCCTCCATTCGGTACTTGTCAACGGGTGCCGTGGTCGGTTCATGTATATGTAACCTTCCTCATTGAGAACGGGCCGGAATCGCACCTCCTTTTCGAATTCGGTCTTCTATCGCCTTTAAGCGCCAAGAGCTTTTTCTGCGCGA